CTGCCTACGCCGCCAAAGGGGAACCAGAGGCGTTTAGGAGTATTTGGGGGCTGGAAAGGGGCCCTCGGTTTATACAAGCAGGGATACTCTTTCATCCAACGATATCCGAGGCCTTGACTTTGAGGGGAGACGGTGTTACGATCCCTCCCGCGCGTTTACACACCCGTTGCCCTCCGTTCCGACCACCTCCGCACACGAGATACTCTTTCATCGACGATCCGCGTTTCGTGCGTCCACTCGTTTCGTTTGTTCAACAGGGTGTCCGCTTTGTGATTTTCTTCTCTCCCCCTTTCTTCGTCGATGAATTTTTCTCCAATAGTCGAAAGCGAAATATTTGCATTCGTGTATTCACGAAATTACATATAACATCGAATACAGATATATAATTATCCCACAATCGTTAATAATTTCATTCCGTTCACTTTTGAAATTCAGTGATGTTTCTCAATATTCAGAGTATTAAAAATAGTCTTTTACACTCTCTTAATTCCGACTCCTTCCACCCTCCTCTCCTGTTCCTGTTAATTAAACTTCGAGTCTCTGGTCGGACTTCCGCTTTCGAGGTGTTGGGCTCGGCCATTCGCAACTGGGCGAGCGCATCGAGGCAGAGTTTAATAATTATTATTCATAAGACTCTGGGGCCAGGAAGCGGCCAGGCGTGATACCGAACGCAAGAAAGATGCGACGCGAAACAAGAGGGGTTGCAGCTGCCACCCTCTTCTCCTCTCTCTCTCTCCCTCTCTTCACCCATCGGAACCATGGTTTTCTACGATGAGAAGGGGGTGCGTTCACGAGTCAGTCGAGCAGAAACCCAATCACTTCCGGCGTCTGCGCCCATTAGGGCGCCGCGACGCTGACGTTGGCTGACGTACGCCCTTTCGCCTGTCTTCCTTTCTCACCCACCCTCTCCTTCTTCGTTTCTCTTCTTTCTCCCGACCTCGAACCGCCTCTCCACAACTTGGTTGGACCACTACCAAACTCGAAATAGACCGCAGATCTATTGTTTGGAAAGCGCTCGCACGGAAGCTCCTTCACCGTGGCTAATGACGTATCGAGGATCCTGCTCTTCCTCTTCCTATCTCGCTAGACGTTCGCCTCGCCTTCGTTCGATAACACGCACCGCCTTTCCTTTTCCCTTCCTTCTTTTCTCTCGAGATATATAATAATAAGTCGCGAAATGGCTATGTTTCTCGAAGAATGTATTCGTGTTATTTACAGTTCTATTAAATTAGATCCCTTTTTTTTTGAGGCTCTACGGATCGATAAATTTCGATCAAATAGAATTATATAATTATAAACTTCTTTTTCAATTTCTTTCATACATCGCTTACGATTCTTTTGTTCTTTGTATAAGATAAAGAAAATTAAAAAGTGAAAGAAAACGCTTTCAACGATCCTCAAGATCTTCGATTTCGATTGTATTCGTGTACGTATGATCGTCAAGAAAGGAAAGAAAAATGAAAGATTTTCGAAGAATTGGAAGACAGTTCGATCTCTGTACGAGACACCTGCGCACCTGTACGAGTTCTCTTTTCGAGGGTGCATTTCGCTCGGCCACTTCGTCAAATTAACATACACGATTCGGGCGGAAATTACGTCCGACAATTACCGACCTTACGCCGATGAAATATCGACGGTGCCCGCCCAGAACTCGGCCAAATTGAGATGAACGATACATCGACGTACGTATACGAGGATGCCGGCCGAGCTTTCGAGCTTTATCGAGCCGATCGGCCAATGCCCGCTGCCCATGATCCACTGATCTACATAATGAGTCATGGATACGTCTCCCCTACCTGACTGGCCTATCGTTATCTCTGATTACCCGAATAGATTTCTTGTCGTTGAAGCTAGCCGATCCCACGAAGCGGCGGGATCCTAAATGACCGATGTTAGACGAAGATTGATCTCTCTCGTTGCATCAATTCGAGCCTGATTTCGATCCTATTTTATTCTACGTTTTGTTAAGTTAATTGCTAACTCGAATATACGATGGAATAATAAATCCAGAGGGTATTTTTAGGATCCGTCTCGATTTAGATGCCGGGAAATGCGGCGGTTTTGGAATGCGAGGGACGTTGATTTTCTTATCGGGATCGGTAGCCAAGGAGGGTGGAATTAATGATGGAAACTTGGAACAGACGATAATTGGAATGGATACTTGCTTCCGTACGATTTAACCATTCTTGTTGTCGGCGTCGCCACGTTTTTGGAACATTACCAAAAATCGTATTAGTCAAAGGTTGGGCTGGTATTTAAATCTGATAATTTTTGCGTGTCGTTGGAACGCTTCTTGAATTAATCCATAATGCCGCATCTCTCGTTTACTCCATATTTTCTCCAATTATTCTAATATTTGAAAATGTATATATTAGAGAATCATTTCTTCAAATTCGAAAAAGATTGCATTAACATTATCGATTACTATTACTTTTTTACTTTTCAAATATTATATATAGATATTGTTCAACAAATGTCGAGAAAATTATATTAAGCAATACTTCGATATCACGATATTCATTTCTAATTTCCACGTTTGATCTGTTGCAGGTTCATCAACGCGAGGCGTAGAATCGTCCAGCCTATGATCGACCAGAGCAATCGAGCCGGTAAGACGAGCCCAATTCTGTCAACAGACCCTTACACACACACATACAACACCGAAGACGCGTATAATTTCATGTCACCTGTGCCGGGCATGCATCACGGATACGTTTATCCGGCTTATCACGAGGGTTACACTCCCGGTCCTTATCGGTTGACGTAGATCGATGCGTTCTAACGAAGGAATCCTACGCGTGCCCATAAGGGCTCGTCGAGGATTCGATGCCTCTTATTAACCCAAGATATACACGTTGGTTCAACCATTAAACCTTATTATCTCATCAAATAATTGTTCTTTATTACGCGATTTATCATATCGTTTAATCCTTTATATCTTTATATAATTGTTAAATTGTTATGGCAATGGTTTTATATATTCTTGCTTTTTAGTAATATTTTAAGAGTTTGTAATTTTTTTACACGAAAAACGATTTTACGCGAAAACTTGGCATTCGATAAATTTGATAAATTTTTTTTTTATATCCGCATAGATTTTAGATTATTTTATAGTTATATCTTTCCATCTAGTTTATATTAATAAGTATAATAATACGTTTCTTAAAGTAGATTAAATATGCTATAAAGATGTTTGGTAATAGATTAAAAATAAGCCAACTTGTAATTGTTCTCTCCCTTCGATATTATCTTATTTTTAGAACGTTTTTCTTATTCTTAGAAATTTTTAATTAGCTTAATTTTAGCTCGTTGTATCTCTCTCCTTATAATTGGATAATATTTTCTTCTAGTTTCACATTTCGGATTATTACTCTATTACGATTGATTTATCACCCGTTAGATTATAAGATCGATCCCCTAGTTTATAAATGCTAGGGAATCAAATTTGAGAACTGGCAATCACGTCGCCCGTTAATTCGAACCCTCATCCCTCCGTAATGTAATCCGACGAAGAATTGACCGCGACGTGTTGCCCGTACGAATCATGTAATTCGGCTGCTGGGGAAGGGATCTCTCCCGTTTCTCAAGCGCCGTTTCTTCTCCATCTTGATCATTTATCAATAAACGAACAATCTGAACCAATATTATACACGGTATACTCGTTTTTGTTTCTTTGGCGGTAGCCAATTATAACCTCCCCGTGACTCGATTATCGTCGATCGTAATCGCGCGTTTCGTTCAACCTCTCCATTTTCTGTCTCGTTAACGATACGACTTTGAAATTCGTTTCGTGCACTTTGTCATTTCTGTCTCGAGAAACAGACTTAATCTTAATCGGGTGGAATAAGATTGATATGAAATTTTCCTTCATTTTTTCTTTTCTTTTTCTTTTTTTTTCTCCTTTTGCGCATATATTTGTTTTCAGATAAAAAATTTTCTGCATTCGCGTTTCTTCCAATCTTTTATCATCAAAATTTTCTATATTCGAACATTTTAAATTTCGCCCTTAAACAAAATATCATTAATCTACGATTTCGATTAATCTGCGATTTCAAATTGGACAAAAAGAGAGAGAGAGAGAAAAAGAGAGAAGAAAAATTAAAATTCGGAACAATTTTTGTCTCTCACAAGGAGACGATATTCTGGGACAACGCGCGCATTGGAAATTCTCCCTCGTCGCCGTTCAAGCGGGAGGGAAAAAAGCGTGGAAACACGAAAGGGGGCGAAGAAAAACACGGGAGCCTCCGGTTTCCGGCCCGTGTAATCTGTAAAGACGTCGCGTTTACGAGGAGAGAATCACTTCGTTTGCAGTAAAAGGCGACAACAACGGTTACCTAGTCCCCGGTGTTAGGGTTTGTAACACAGTCTCTCTCTCCTCTCTCTCTCTCTGCTCTTCAAGGGTTCAAGGGTCCGCCTAGTGATTCGGATGATGGCGGGAGGGCTCGTTCCGTCGCCCGGGCAAAAGGTGGATAACGTTCCGGATAACGTTCGGATAACGGCGGGATAATTGGTAGCGGTGATCAGACCCGGTTTTACGACCAGTCGACATGCCTCTCACCCTCGAATCAACCCCCGGGAACGCCGTCTTTTTTCCACCTTTCCCTCGTTACGCTCCTTTGTTTCCTCCTTTCCTCGAGGACGCCTTCGAGGCTTGGTTCAACGAAACGCGAAGAGAGAGTCCTCGATACGGAGAGAGCTCGTATTTTTACGACTCCCTCATAAACACCCACCGAGTTACGGATTGTTTGCCAGGACGATGATGCCCTCTCGGGCCGATTTCACCGGTGATTTAAGAGGGAAGATCTCTGATTATGAGTTAAGGAGTGTGTGTATATATATGTATCCTCGTATTTGCTTTTTTTTCACTCGCTGAAAAGTTTACTTATTCTTTACTTAAACGTTTTAACGATTTTTTGCGTTATTCTAATGATCGTAAAGTTACAAAAATTATTCGATATAAATTTAACTTAAACTTCGATAAAACGTAGCTCAAAAATTAACAAGACTTTTACTTGCTTAGCTCCATCCATTTCTTAAATCGGTAATATCCGGAATAAACCAAGAGCGTGTTTCGCTAGCAAATCACGACACTAAGGGAGGAGGGGGAGGATGGGGGGGATACGCGGAGCGTGGTGGTAATTCCGTGGCGAGAAAGAGCGGGGGGAGGAGGGGAGCTAACGAGCCGAAATGTCGCCGCCCGTATCGGGAGTAAAGTGGAAACTCGTGTACGGTTAGATTGTCATCCCGAGTCAATCCTGATCACGGCCACTTCGCAACCCCTTTTCCTTCGCCGTTGTACCACCGTTTCTCCCGGTCTCTTCCTCCTAGACAGAGAGAGAGAGAGAGAGAGAGAGAGAGGAATTCGCCTCTCTCGAATTGAAATCGATGGCCTTGCGCGCCGTGAATTTCGCGAGACCTGGCCAAGACCCGGCCAAACAAACACACCTATTCCCCTCTCTCCTCCACCCCTTCGTGGGATCGCGTCTCTCGCGTTGCTTCGTTCGAGACACGAGGGAGAGGGGGAATTTTCGCGAAGGCCGAAGAAGGTTGAAGAAGGAAACTCGTCCCTCGTCCATTTTTCTCGATTCCTCCGGGAATCGGCATCGAGGGCATCGTTCAACCCCTCCCCCCGGTCCAGGATGCTGGACGATCAGCAGTCCATTAAAGCTTAATAGCCGGAGCATTAGGCCCCTGGGCAGATTTTGCTCGAACGGAAGCGAGATAAATGCGTCTTTCGAATGCTCCCCCGCTCCCCCGTCGATCGTATCAGCCTTCTTCCTTCGACTTTCGGCCGGCCAGGTGAGAGGTCGCGTTTCATCCCGTCCAACGCGATGGATCGATAATTGTCCTCGTATATACGAGCCGATCGTATCCGCAATTTGCGAGTCTGGTATTCGCTTCGGGGCTCATTAATCATAACGACGGTCTAAATGATGATCTATATGGCGTGAGATATCAGATTTGTCGAGATCGTTTCTCCCGTTAGTTTTCATTTTCGAGACGTGGCTTCACGTGGTATTAGTATTTGTTTCTTTTCCTTTTCTTTTCTTTTCTTTTTTGTAATTAATGCGTAACGCGCATAATATTATCTTATATTTATTTTTAAACCAGATCTAGCAGTATGTATCGTTAGTGGATCATCTGTTTTGTATGCTATTAAAATAAATTACTTTTTTCTTCCTAATCATTCAGATAAAATTCTATTAATTTGAACGAGAATTCAATTTACTTGTTTCGATTAACGAGAGCACCAAACGAAATCCGATTTCCTCTGCTTTCGCCAATCACCACTCGAACATTCTCATTTCTCATTGTTCTTTTATACGGAAATATTACCAGTCCGTCTCAGCCCACGGGGAAAGAAGAGGGGAAGGAACGAAGAGTAGCTCGTTCGAATTGTATTAGGGCAGCACCGCTAATTCAGAACACGTTCCGTGGCTGCAACAACTCCGGAACGGGAGAAAGGATTTTGTCGAGAGAGGATCCAATCCTCTTTGTCGCGCCTCTTCGTGTCGAGCTAATGACGCGCGTCGGCTCCATCATCAATCATACTTTCATTACGCGGATCGCAGCTGCTCCGCATTGACTCCGCGTGGCCCGCGGCCCATTCTTATTATTCCCGAGCATCCATCCTCGTCTCGCGTCCCAGACGCGTTCTTGCCCCGCCGCAATCAGTGATTTCATGCCTCCCTTCTGCCCCGATAACGATTCCAAACGAGGGATTCCAAGGGGGAAGGGGAAGAGTAAAATTGAGGAATAAAGATTGTACGATTTTCGGCTCGGTGATTGAGGATGCTCGTGGTGCAGGAATCGACGAAAGGAAGGAAGGGACAGAGGAAGAAGAGAATATAATAGTATTTGCGCGAGAAGAGACTAGACGAGACTAAGAGGGTTGTGTAAGAGGATGATAAATTTCGACGAGATTAAAATTCGTAATCGTGCGCCTTTCGATTAAGTACAGGTAGATTTAATAATAATGATAATAATAGTGGCGAATCATCTGGTCTGATTTTCAACTACTGAAGAAAATCTTTGATATCGATCAAAAGCCTCTGCATATCGCCGTTTAAAACTTCCTCGACCCCACTTCCTATCTGCTAAACACGGCAGAAAAAGGCAATTTTCCAGTAGTAACGGGGAAGAAGCTCCCGTGCCCCTTATACTCATTCGGGCAAGGAGATCCCCAACGCGTGTCTCTCTTTGATCGCGAGGAGGGCACGATATAAACCTAATAGAATCCGGATCCGGGGAGACACGGAGGCAGCTTGTACGTCGTAAAACGATGCGTCCGTGGCTTTATATTTTATAGTTCGAGCGAGTTGCCCTGTCTGTGTATCGTGCTCGCCATCGAATGGGGAAGGATTTAAAAGGGATCGTGGTTTTACGGCCGAGTATTAGGATGGCGGCGTTAAAACCTCGTACGTATCCCTTTACTGCTCTCGAGGCCGTGCGTGAGCACTGCTAATTTTACACTGTGTAATTTCGAGCAATTGGCTAAATCGCGATTAACCACGACGCTGGATCATTTAATAGATTCAATTTACTTCTTTCTTTCGTTCTTTTTTTTTCGTTTTTGTATTTCATCATTTTGATTTGATTTATCTCTTTA